CCCCCCCCCCCCCCCAATCCCCCACACTTTTTGTTCCAAAAATACGAATATGAATAAAAAACGTTTACCATCTTTTTATAGCTATTTTTCTTCTTTCAATGTGCTTAATTTTCAAATGCCAGTTCCCCAACTTTTCAACATGTTCTGCGGTCCCTGTATCAGCTATGAAACCCCTTTTTGGGGTATGCATATGACCCAATCTTAGCCCCCTTCCCCACCCCTTAACATCCCAGTCTTAAATCCATGTTATGCATGTTCTAGAAAAATCTTTAAAATATGAAACCAAAACCAGGGTCCTGATTCCACAGATACATCCTTCTTTCTGATCTTATCCTTGTCAAAACCTTAATAGAAAACCTTAGGGGTAGGGTAGGGGGATTAGCATCAATCCCCTCGTTAACAGTGCTTATACTGAATATATGGCATGGATCGATATTTTGTGGAGCCAAACATTTATTATCATTTAAAAAATCATCTAAAAAAGTTATCCTGAATTTACAACTACAGTAAGCTTCAGTTCGTAAATAAAGAGAATGACATAAGACCTAAGCTTAAGTTCTTGTATGCAATCATACGCACACAATTTATTTTCACGAATACGAAAGAAAGATCCAGTGGCTAATCATGAATGCTTCTGGGCAGTTTACAATCGCAAATCGTCGAGAAATATCTTGTAGATTACCAGTATGGACCAATATATGTACATTTCACATGGTACACAACCATTATGTACACAAATTTGAAAGCGTTTTTCTAGGGGCTGATTCGTCGTGTTTTTTACTATTACATACCTTCTGTGACCTCTAGAACTYTTAGGTGGTCTTCTGCAATCCTTCTTATTTCCTGATTCGGCGAGAGAATCGCTGTTAGGCTTTCAATCAGGGTCTGTTTTAAGGATCGCACTCTTTCATCGCTTGCCGTCGCCATCTTCGATTCGAACATATTGACTCGCGCATGACAAATCAAATGTGGCGGGAAAATTTGAAGGGCTGTGAAATGCGCATGCGTATACTTGATAGTTTAGTTTAGTTTAGTTTAGTTTAGTTTAGTTTA